GACCGCCGCCAGTCCGCATACCAGAGAACACCATTGCACAACAGTTGGCCGTTCAGAAATCATTTGCAGTGCACAACAGGGCACGTCTTTTGCTGTCAGCTGTCGATCGTTAGAATGGACTGGTGATTTTGGAGAATCCTGCATCCAGTATGACGTAACTCGATGAGCTTATGTACCAATGGGTCCATACAGTGGCTCCTTTTGCTGCACACGCCAGCGCTTGTGCATTTGACACGCAAAATCCTGCGTCATGCCCCTGGCACCCACGAATCGATAGTAGGCGTCCGACTTCCTGATGGCGCATTCAAGTCCCGATTGACTGCAGAATCTCCCAAACCACTTGCAGCAGCCCTGACGACCATCATTGGTGACTTCACCACCCACTCCAGCAGCGTGCAATTGATCACAGATTGGCAGACCCCCCTGCCACCTAAGCTGACGTGGCCACTGACACATCACCGTGTGGAAGATGGTGGTGGGTTGTCCAGCTCAACTTTGTGCATGGCACCTGTGAGCATTCCTCTTATGCAGCAACTACGATCCAAGTGGTTCTCACGTTTGACTGCTTCCAAGGATTGCCTCAAGATAGTCTCCAAACTGCGCCAAGGTGACTCCACACCACCTCTGTCAGCGCTCGAGCTGGAGCCATATCTGCGTGATTCGTTGGGCACTATGGGTGTTGACCAACCCTCTGCTGAGTTGCTGCAGGTGACACCAGGCCAGCCATTCAGATTGCGCCTGTGGAAGACTTTGGTGTGCGTGATGACCCTGATCCAGCTTTTTTTCGATGTTAATAAACCTTTGACGCCATCACTGGCGTGGCCAGTCAATCAGGTCACCATGCCTGCTGACATGCCTTTGGTGGAATGTACGTCATCCTGGAAGAGTGCATCAGATCATTTGGATTTAGTCAGGGAATTGATCTCTGAAGAAGTTGCTGCGGGGTTCAATTGCACACGTCCCTGGGGGCATCGAGGCACTGACAGCATCGTACTCAAAAGTGGCGGCCGGCAAATTGGGTATTGTACTGGCAGAAGGACGGTCACCACGATTGGTTGTCGACAGCTCCATCTCCAACGTGTCCTGGATGGTGACTCGATGGATGCCCTGCACCATTGGCAGGACGTGCTGTCATCGACATGGTTTTGCATTTCTAGAGAGCGCCTGAAGATGTGCCAGTGCAGGCCACCGCTGATGCCATGGTTTCTGCTACAGTTGCGGGCTTGGGAGGAGCTGCTTTCTTCACTGATGGCTCATGTGCTTGGTTCCAATTTCGTATCACTTTGGCCGAAGCACAGCAGATGTGGCCATGGGTCGGACCAGATATGCAGAAACATATTGCAGTTTGTGAACTTCTGGCTCAATTTGTTCTGACATTTGTGATCTCCAGCCATCTCCCTTTGCGGCGCCCGCCGATTCGTTGCCATCAAGGCTGTGACAACAGTGCGGCTGATGCGGCATCTGCAAAGGGCCTTACCATGACATCTGGAATGTCACATGTCATCGCCCAGTACTTTCTGTTCATGAGAAGGTTCCACATCTATGCGGACATCTCTCATATTCCTGGACATTTGAATGTGCTGGCTGACGCTTTGAGCAGATTCGAGGATCCACCAGTGCACCTGGATGCAGCCACTCAAGTACAGGCTGACTGGCGTGACCTGATATGAATCAATCAGGCATCCACGTCACTCAGACATCGGCCAGATGGTCCCCAACTTTTCGTGTCCGCTGAGCGAGTCAAAATAGATTGCAGCACGAACTCCGATCTTGTTTTGGGGTAGGTAGCTCCGGCTGGTCGTACTTCGATTGGTTTTGGCAGGTTGGATCTACCCTAGATTTCAGTTTATATCCCAGATATTCTTGTTGGGTCCGCTGATCCTTACACAGTTATCTGGTTGGGTAGTGGTTACCTGTTTCACTTGTACCTGGACATATCCACGCTTGGCATATCAACATACAGGTACATGTATAGTGAAACCGACCGAGCACCAGAAATCTAAAAAGATGCGAGCTGTCAACTCCTGTTGTGCGTGCTGCTATCTATAGACCTCTTTCCTGATATGTAGATATATCAGTTGGTGAATCTGAGACAGCAACGGAAGACATATTGTGAACACGCTTGATCACTCTATAGATAAGTTTCGCATTGGTTCCACTCAATGGACATGGAAGAAGGAGGGCAAACCTGTCCCACTTTTCCACCCCGCAAGACCCGGGTTTGCAAGTCAGTGAACTTAGAAATCTCAGCTCGTGGCATGTGATTGGCTCAAAATTCGTAGCAACAGCTTGATCATCGGTGATCTGATATTTAGATATTTCTCTGTATAACCCTTTCTTTGATCCAACAGATAGTAGTTTTTTATGGTCTAATATTAGCCATCATTAACCATATGATTAACCATTCTTAACCATTATTATAGCCATTGTTGGCCATATATAGCCTTCTACCCAATCTGTTCTGTCAGTAGCCCATCTTGGGTCGACCAATTCACCGAAAGTTTGGCCATGACCACCTCGAATTTTTCGTGCCGGGCACCCAACCCAGCGAAGTCACCATGTCAGGTTCTGAGGGAACTGATGTTGGCAATTGGCATATTGAAAACAATAATTTTTCCAGAAACTGTGTGTTTACCAGAGGGCAGGTTGAATTACCTCACGTGTAAGTGATTGATTCTTTCATGTTCTTTCATTATGTCTGAATTTTGGCGCCTTGTAGCAATTTTCCCAGATGGTATGACCTACCAATGACAGTTTCATGGAAGTCTGATCTATTGTATTTCTATCTGTGGTCACTGGTTCATAGATTGTTTGTGTCCATGCTTGGAATGATGATCACGCAATAACCAACATAATGCCATGAGGCTGAAACCACCACTCCAGTTTGAGCAACGGGTACCGTTTGCAGTCCGAATCAGTCCGACTATCACCTGGTTGGTTTAATGCTGTTGCTTTCCATCACGATTTGGGACGATCGACGTTTACTGGGAACAGCTAAGCCGTACTTATTTGGGTGTTTTTGATGCAAACAAGCATGAACTACTTTAACCGTTATCTATATATACAATATGATATCGCATTATCATCCCATTCTTGGTGGTTGTAAGTTATAAGTGATAATATGTTGCAATATTTATCAACCCCATCAACCTTATGAGGCCATATAGCTGCCATCCCTATCTATGGGTCTCTTGGAGCGCAGAAGACTTCCAGGACCATGAGATGCTTGGCACACAGTGAAACATCGCATTCCGGAAATGACGAAGAGGTAAACAAGTTGCGACTTATTACCATTTAATTACCCATGATTTTAGCGGGATATAAGTATACCTCTTGTAACCTATGATTCTTGAAGGATTTAAGAGCACAATTCCGTGCCAAGGAAAAGTGGTGTTGGCTGCAATGATCGCAGCAGTGGTGCAACTGCGCTGCACAAGCATGGGTCCGTTGGAAAATAACACTCTCAAGATGTCCGGTCTGTATTGGAACATTCACCGATGTCTCAGGTTTCCACGAAGTTTGCTGCACAGTTTGAAGCGTATCTACACGTCGTGTCTACAGTCGTGCGTCATGTACCGTACATGCCTCCACTGATTTTGGGTGGGTAGTTGCGGGACATCAGAACTCTTGTGATACAACACGTTTGTGTACCATCCCCAAAAAATACATCCTGTTTGTGTATTGGACGGCCAATTTCAAGATTTGATCATGTTGTTGCTCTGATTGTCTTTGATTCTCCAGTTGAGCTCTTGAATCGCTTCCACGAAGACCAACATTCTGCAATTATCCCATCCCCCTGATAAAAAACACCCCGTAATTGGTCCAATATGTTTACATAAATCCCCTTGTTTTATGTTTTTTTTGAACGGGGGATAGGATCAACAAATCTGCCAAGTTTGGCCAAAATTCGAGGTACCTGCTGGTGCTCACCAGCTATGCCCACGGAAGCAACATCTTGGAAGTTGTGGCGGAGCACACCGCAAGCGCCAGCCGCTGCAGTTCCCCGGAAGTTTCAATAGTGGAAGAACTGGCTGCTGTTGTTTTCTGGGCGGTGATGGGTTTAACCAGAAGCAATCATGGGGAAAAAAATTGGATAGAATCAATGAGTTACATATTTTCTTGGATCCATTACAACAACCTCACCGCATTACGTCACTGGAATGACTGTTAGGATGGGGAATCATCCCCAAAGATGGGTGAATTGCTTCAGGGTTGGTGAATTCCTTTGATTGATCCAGGATAGAGAATCAAGCCGATTACCAAGGTAGGCCTCAGGGTTTGGACCCTCGCAATGCGGGATTTTTTGTAGGCAAGCATTGCAGGTTTCAACCCCACATTTCAAACCAAAAAAAAACAGTGATTGAAGGGCTTTACCATCGCACTAGGAAAGCCTCATAGATGGATGGTAAAGCTAAACCCATATCAAATATGATGAAATGATACGAAATGATGGATGTCGATCCTGTGATATCCTTTGTATATTCCTTATGTTTCCTTTTTATTATTGTTTTTTGTTCGAACCCCCCACTATCCCACTGGCGCTATGGCCCAATGGCATCCCAACAGCCGTCCAGGTTCGCCTTGGTGTCTGTGGCCAGCGCCGGAGTGGCGCTCAGTTTGGTCTTTGTGGTCTTTGTGATGCCTGTGGTGTGGGCTTTGTCAGAAATGATGGCCTTCTTCACCAGCACCTCCAGCTTATGCACAGGCAAAACAAACCCAGATGCCCGCTGCACAGTATTTATGGCACTGACCTTCAGGCATTTGGCGCTCTTTGATGCAGCTGAGAACCAAATGGCCCTCTTTTGCCCTAAGGCCTCATACCAAACAACGGTCGTAGAAGGTGGAGTGAGAACCTATGATGCTGCAGAACGCCGACTTCTTTCAAACTTTTCGAAAGTTGTGACTGTGCACCCTGAGACCTCGAGCGGCTCGGCAGTTTTCAACAGCTATCGACAATCATGTCGTCCATGGCCACCATTCCGTAGACTGATGAGGAGGAGATGGAAACTTCACAGATTTGGGGGTCAACCAATGGAAACGAAGCAAAGGTTTCTCCGAGGGCCTCCTTCATTGTGCCTGCTGTTGGTCTCATGGTTGTGGGTGTCTTGGCATTGGGTGCGATTCGCGCGAATGTGGCCCCTCAGACTGCTCAGGACCAGGCTGGAATGGTCCAATTGGGCGATTTCAAGATCCCAGACCTTCCAGCGAATCTGATCGATGAGTTGAAGAAAGAAACCAAACAACCAATTACAAAATTCAAGGCAGACTTGGGCATCAATGACTTGAGGGGGGATCAGATTGCACTTTGCGTCATCAATCTCAACTTGGGAATCTGGAAGGTGATTCAGGTGGGAGCACTCATCACCAAAACGGTGGACAATTGCGCATATCAAACCACCAATATCGACAAGAAAATTGCATGCAATATCAATCTTGCTGCGATTGCGATTTAAGGTGGTTCCGGAGATGTCTTCATCGTCCATCCTATAGTTGGGAATATGATCTCCTGTGACTCATATTTTGAAGGGGGGTTGAAACTGCAGATGTCCCCAGTAGTAACATAGAAGTAGCATGGCACCAAGGCATGACATGCCCCTGCCGCAAGGATGACACGCACAGGACCATGTGCACCAGCCGTTTTGACCTCAAAAAGTGCAGCACTGAGCTGTGCATGCGGCCCTCAGGTTGGTGGTTGGAGGAGAACCCCCAAAAGCCTGGTGAAGGGGTCAGTTGAAGGGTTGAAGAGTAGCCCCCAAGGCCATAGAGGCGAATAGGTTACGAGCCCAACGACGCCATGGAGGTAACCATGAAGAGAAGGACGGAGCCTCAACAGGCAGAAGATGCTGAGGGGCTAGACCATGGAGCCAGACGGGGTGATGATTCCAAAGACCAAGGAGGTGATGGAAGACCCCAACAGAAGGCGCTGGAAGATGCCGCCGAAGCCGCTGCCCAGAAAGGTAAAGCCAAGGAGGATGCCCAGCTGGGAGCAAGACCAAAGGAAGATGAAGAGGCCTCGAGGACGACAGAAGCCCCGAGGACAGGTATTGCTGTGCTGAATGGAGAGGGAGGTGGGGAAGGGAGGACACCGGGGAAGTCGTTCTTCACACCGGATGGGAAGAGTGGGAGGATGCCAGAGACTCCCAAAGCTGAAGCCCCCAAGGGACCCCTTTTCACCCCTGAGCAAGTCGCCAAGATGGACGAGCTCAGAGCCCAAGCCCCCCTGCTGGACACCGCCCAATCCAGAAGGGAATGCGAAGAGGCCGCCAGGCCACTGTTCCTCAAGGATGAGGAGAAAGGAAGACACCAGAAGGTCGATGAGATGAGGGCCTACGAGAAGAGGCTCGATGAGATGAACAGCTTCATGGATGAAGTGAAGCTGCGGATGATGGAGCAGCAGGAAGAGAAGACCCTGCTGCACAAGATGCTGATGGAGTCCGCCGAGAACGAAGCCTACTGGCGAAGTGAGAGCGCCGAGCTTCAGGAGGACGAGACCCCCTGAAGCCGAAAGGAGGCTGAGACCCCCTGAAGATGAGAGGAGGCTGAGACCCCCTGAAGATGAGAGGAGGCTGAGACCCCCTGAAGATGAGAGGAGGCTGAGACCCCCAGAAGATGGAGGAAGACCAAAGCAACCACCAGGAATGGAGGCCGAGGAGATGAGGATGAAGACCCCCCGGCAGCCCCAGGAAGTCGCCATCCACACCCCGCCGTCAACCCTGGAGGATCCCTTCGCAACCCCAGAGGAGCCCAGAAGCGAAGAGATGAGAACAGGGAGAGAAGATGGAGCAGGTGGTGGAAGAAGAGATGAGGAGAGAGAGATCTCCATGGAGGCCATCCTGGCCATGATGAGAAACATGCAGGAGATTCAGAAGAAGATGCTTGAGAGAGAGCTCAGAGACAAAGATGAGGAGAAGGGAATGACTGGTAGAGCTGAGTTCGTGAGAGGACAGCCAGAACCCCCCAAGCTCCAGCCATGGCATCCAGTCAATGGCCCCATCGACCTCAACGACTGGCTGTCGTTGGTCGAACCGGTCATAGCAGACCTGACAGCCACCAGCCATGAGAGAGACCATGAGGATGAGCCCGATGGACAGGATCCATCATGATGCAGCCCCCAGCAGAGAGCTGGAAGACCCCCGGTGGCTGAGGCTCGAGAGGAGGGCCAGCACCATGCTGCTTCAAGCAGTGCCCGAAGCCCAGCGAGAGGAGCTGGTGAGCGCCAAAAGACTCACGGCGCTGAAGGTGGTCTGCCACCTGCTGATGACATATTTGGAGAACCCCCCAGAGGCACAGACAGTGCCGGAAGCCCTGCAGAGCCTGAGGAAGTGGGCTCGATGGCGCAGAAGAGCGTCAGAGCTGGCAGTTACGGAACCAGACCCGTATCTGCTGCTGAAGGGCCCCGCCCGCATCGTCAAGAAGCCCCTGGAAGGGAACAAGGAGTTGGCCTTCAGGGTCAGTCTGGCGAGGAACAACCTGCAGGTAGACAGCAAACCCACAGCCAGGTCGGTGAGTGCATTGGCAACACACCTCACCGCAGAACTCGAACAAATAGCCCACCTGGACCCCAACACCGGCATGCCAAAGAAGCTGGCTCCCCCCCCCAAAGAGCAGAACCCCCACAAGGCAGAAGTAAGACTCAAGAAGATGGAGGGCCGAGACAGCAGGGAAGCGGGTGGAGGAGTGGGCAAGGGAGATGGGAAAGGCAAGGATGCCAAGTCAGGGGAAGTATGCCGCTTCTTCTTGACTGACCAGGGCTGCAAGAAAGGCAAAGATTGCCAATGGGCCCACCAGGTCGATGACCAAAAGCGGTGCTGGAACTGCGGTGGAAAAGACCACTTCGCAGACAAGTGCACCCGACCTTCTTTCAGGAACCCTGAAGGCCAGAAAGAGTCCAAGGGAGAAGGGAAGGGTGCCAGAAGCATGAAGAAGAAAGAAGAAGATTCCCCAGATGGGAAGAAAGAGAAAGAAGAAGAGAAGCCGAAGAAGGAAGAAGAAGATGCCGAGAGTGGCAAAGGACAGGTGATCAAGGAGCTGATGGAAGAAGCCAACAGAATGCTTCGGAAGATCACCAAAGATGGAGAAGACAAGAAGGAGACGAAGATTAGCCAGCTCCAGAAGCAGCTAGATGAGCTGAAGTCCATCAAGGTCCTGAGGCTGGCAAGGCTTCAAGAAGGAGGAGCCAGAGGACTCCTGGACTCCACACACCCACTCAGAGGGCGGCGCGAAGGAGAGAAGATGAAGGGCTACAAGGAGGTGACAGTCTCCTTAGCCGGAGGAAAAGAGGCCAATCTCCATGTGACCAAGGAGGGGATCATGGTGGCCAAGAATCCAGGCACGGAACCAATAGTGCCGATGGGCATGGTGGTGGATCTGCTGGGCTGCAGAGTGGCGTGGGACGAAGATGAAGTCCGCGTGATGCACCGACGCAAAGGGAAGCTGGAAGTGGTTCTCCGAGGAGGATGCCCAGAGATCTCCAAAGAAGATGCCCTGATGCTGATCGAGGAGATCGAAGAGAAGGTCAGGTCGATCCGACCAAAGACCCCACAAGAAGAAGAAGAAGAGAAGATGAGAGAAGATGAGATGGGGTGGCTCCAGAGGATCCTGGATGAGCACCCAGCCTTCAGGAAGATCCCACAAGGCCTGAAGGAGAAGATCCTCGAGCCACCGGCAGATGATGTCGCCATGTGTGGCAACAGAAGACTGAGGAAGAAGTGGGCCAACGAAGGGCTCATCCTGCACCTCTATGCAGGTCCAGAGGAAGGATACACGTTCCAACGTGCCTTCCATGAAGTGGGGGGAAACAAGAAGCTAGTCCTCGAGGTGGACTGTCTCCGAAGCCCCAAGTGGGACATGCTGCCTCAAGGCAAGGCATTCCCGGCGCGTCTGCGTCTGGCATTGAAAGGCTGGATCAAGATGATCCTGGGCGGACCCAACTGTCGTACAAGGAGCGTCTTGCGACACAGGCCACTGGGCGATGAGGAAGGGGGACCCAGACCCCTGAGGAGTTGGATGGAGGATCAGGAGTGGGGGAGGAACGATTTCACAGAGAGTGAGAAACGGAGGGTGGAGGAGGATGACATCCTCATGCTGAGGATGGTGATGCTGTTCATCGTCGCCGAGGAAGTCAGAAAGGCGAACAGCATCAAGATGCCCACACAATTCGCCCTGGAACAGCCAGCCGTGCCAAGAGAAGAGGAGATGGTCAGCTGGTGGAGAACCCCCATCTGGAAGATGCTGGTCGCTGGTCAAGATCTATGGCTTCAAAGAGCCCACGTTCGACCAGTGGAATTGGGAAGGAAGAGCCCACAAGCCCACCACGGTTGGAAGTGGAAGCTCCACCGAGAATCCCACAAAGGAAAGAAGAGAGACAGAAGGAAAGACCCCAGAAGAGCTGCTGAGAGAAACAAAGCAGCTAGCCCGATGGGCTCCTGGCATGATGAAAGCCCTGGCGGAGCAGGTGATGGAGAAGGTGTGTGGGAAGAAACCCCAGCTGAGGCCGCTGAGCTGGGAGGAGCATGTCAGGGCCAACCACACTCCTTTCAGGAGAGATTGCCGGATCTGCCAAGAGGCCATGGCCAAGGCATCCCCACACAGGAAAGCAGGGCATGCCAGAGCAGGGGTGCTATCCCTGGACCTCACGGGTCCCTTCAAGAAGGCAAAGACATCCTCAAGGGCACTACGGCCAAGTTCCTGCGGGTCGGAGTCTACACGTGGATTGATCCACGCCCCGGTGGTCATCCAGCCCCGGACGAAGAGGAGGTGGAGATTCCAGATGAGGCGCCAGACTTCCAAGAGCCAGCACCTCCAGAAGGAAAGAAGGCCCGGGGGAGACCCAGAAAGGATGAGCTGGCCGAGAAGAAAGAAGAAGAGAGATTGAAGTGGAAGGCCAAAGAAGGTGCCAAGAGAGCAGAAGAAGAAGCCAGAAGGAGAGAAGAAGCTCCGCTACCAAGAGGAGAACCCATAGAGGGCGGAATCTTCAACGACACAGATGAAGAGGAGGCGGCGAGAGTGCCGGCCGAAGAAGATCAAGAGGAGGCGGCGAGAGAGCCAGCCGAAGACCCAGAAGAAGAAGCCCCAGATGGGCAGCCAGAGGCAGAGGAAAAACAAGAAGAAGATGAAGAAGGGGAGGTGAGAATCCGCTATTGCCGGATGGTGCTGCCAATCGAGACGAAGCTGGCAGTCAACATCGTAAGAGCAGTTCAGCTCTTCTACCTCCGCCTGAGGTCAGAAGGGTTCGTGGTGAATCAGATTCACACGGACCGAGGAGGAGAGTTCGACAACACCAAGTTCCAGAAGTGGTGGGAGGCTCGGGCGATTTTGAAGACCTGGACGCCGGGCGACGATCCACAATGTAACGGCCGCTGCGAGAGAGCAGTCCAGGAAGCCAAGGCCAAAATCAGAGTCATGCTCCTTCAGGCAGAGCTTGGAGCCGAGTATTGGCCACTCGCAGCACGGCACCTGAATGAAGCACTGCAGGTTGCCCGCCAGGACAAAAAGATCACCTGGCCGCCGTTCTGGTCAAGGGTGTTGGTCAGGAAGCGCCATGGTCGGACCAACGAACTCGAGCCTTCCCAAGAGATGGTCAACTATCTCTTCCGAGCATGGGAGTCTCACGGTCACTACATCCGTGATGACGATGGGCTGACCCGGCTGTCAAGGACGGTGATGAAGAACGTCCATGAGCCCATCACCGAAGAGAAGTGGATCGCCTTGGAAGATGAGACCAATCGGGTCCAGGTGAGGAGAAGGCTGAGGAACAAGATGACAGCCAGGCAGCTCAAGGGCCCCATCGAAGAGGAGGAGGAAGAAGAGAGAAGAGTGAAGATGAGAAGGATCCAAGAAGTGATCCGAGACGAGATGGGAAGGGTGATGGAAGATGACGAAGAGAACGTCAACATCACCATGAAGGAGCTCTGGAAGCTGAGGAAGTTCACGGAGGAGGAAGCTCCAGATGAAGTGCTCCAGACGAAGGTGGTGGGAATGCAGGAAGTCAGAAGAGACTTCCCGAAGTGGAAGGAGGCGGTGGAGAATGAGCTCAGGTCTCTGTTCGAGACGAAGGGTGCCCTCAGAAGGGTCTCGCCGGGGGAGGTCGAGCAAAGGAAGAAGAAAGGGGACTTGGATGTCATTCCCTCCAAGCTCGTCTGCACCCTGAAGCCAGACCCCACCAATCCAAAGGGGAAGAGGAAGATCCGCATAGTAGCATGCGGGAATTTCGTCACGGCCGAAGGGGCCGACAAGAATGAGCTCTTCGCATCAGGATCAGACGCCATCGCCGTCAGACTGGCGGTCGACGAAGCAGCCAAGAGAGGTTGGCAGGGGCGCTCCATGGATATCAGGACGGCATTTCTCAATGCCCCAATGGAGCTGGATGAGGAGGTGGAAGAGAGGAAGTTGAAGAAGGAAGAGGGAAGAGCAGTGGTGGAAGGAAAGGATGATGAGCTCCGAGCACACAGAGTGCTGGTGGAGCCCCCGGCGTTTCTGATCCAGATGGGAATGGCCGGACCCAATGAGCTCTGGGAAGCAGTCCGAGCTTTCTATGGGTTCCGTGAAGCCCCCAGGAAGTGGAGCGATTTCCGCGACTTCACCATGCGGAGGCTGAAGATCAAAGCCAAAGGAGGAGCAAAACTCAGGTTGGAAGCTCTGATCTCTGAACCCAACCTGTGGAAAGTCAAGTTGGTGGACACAGGAAGGATGACGGCCCTCCTGGTCGTGCATGTAGATGACCTCCTCGTGCTGGGAGACGTATGACCTGCTCCAGAGGAATCTGGGAAAAGAAGAAGCAGGCTGGCCAAAGAAGAAGGTGCCAGTGGGCCGAGAGTGGCTCACAGGGCCGGAGGAGGAAGAGAAGAAGATAGAAGATGTCCGAGAGGGACAGAGGATCGTCGGTGAGCTGATGTGGCTGGTCACCCGATGCCGGATGGATCTGATGTTCTGGTGTCGCTGTTGGCTTCCAACATTCTGAAGAGACCGAGAGAGGTCAAGCAGGTAGCCGCCCAGATCTGGGGCTATCTGGCAGCCACAATGGATGAAGGCCTGATCTTCACGGCCAAGGATGAGGAGGAGGGATTTCAAAGCTTCACCGACGCCTTCGGAGAAGACTGCCAAGGGTGTTCCATCGTGAAGGTTGGAGGATCACCCATTGCCTGGAAGTCAAGCAGGCAGGGAGCTATTGCGCTCTCAACGGCTGAGGCCGAACTGGGGGAGATCGTGGAGGGTCTGGTGCTCGGAGACTCAATCCGAGTCGTGGTGGAGGAAATCAAAGAAGATGAGGAGAAGATCCTTCGCTGCACCGCCCTCACGGACAACCAGGCGGCCACCAGCATCCTGGCTGACCCCCATGGCAGTTGGAGGACCAGATATCTCCGGATGAAAGCCAAGAACGTCCGGTCCAGGGGCACAGATGCCTTCTGACATGGGGACGAAAGCCCTCTCAGCTCAGAGGTTTGAGCTTCTGAAGAAGCTGGCAGGAATGGCCAAGCTGCCGAAGAAGGAACAGGCCGAAAGGGCTGAAGATGAAGTGAAGGATGAAGAAGGGAAGAAAGGAGAGGCGAAGACCAGAGGGGTCAAAGCCGAAGCAGAGGAGAAGCTGAAGGATGGAGCCAAGATCTTGCAGATGATCGTGCTCATCTCGCAGCTGACACAGGCAGATGCACAGCCAGAAGGAGGAGGAAGAGATGGTCCTGATTGGATCTTCCTCGTGCTGCTGGTGTTTGCAGCACTCAGACTGGTGGCGTGCATCAGATGCCTGGTGTTCTTCGCCAGATGGCTGCTGGTGAAGATCCGCCTAGAGGAGGCGAAGGACTGCATCCGTGCACGGCACGCGCGGGATGTGGAAAGACAGCAGAAGAGAGAAGAGGAGGAGGGAAGAGAGGAAGAAGAAGCCCTGAGACAGAGGGTTACAGAGGCCAGAGAGGCCGCAGCGAAAGCCCAGCCAAAGAGGCGACCCGCCAAGGCGAAAGCGAAGGCCAAGGCGAAAGAAAGGGCGGCGCCAGAAGAAACAGGAGAAGACGAAGAAGCCCGGAGAGATCGGGAAGAGTTGAGGCAGAGGATCGAAGAAGAGGAAGAAGCGAGAAGGGCAGCAGAAGTGAGGCGACCCCCAAGCCAAGCAGGCTCCTCACCACCGATGTACCCTCACACACCCCAAGGGCACCAAGACCCCAAATGACACCAAGGACGGCACCACCGGCTACAACTTGGCTGACCACACCGCCACTGCCGAGCTCTATTGCATGTAACCTGGGGTGGGGCCGACATGGAGCTCAAAGCTCAAGCTCCGCTACCATGCAGCAGCCGCTGCTGGGTGGTGGGATGATGGAGGTCGAGCTCGACACAGAAGAGGAGCCGACCAGTGTCATAGGGAAAGGTGACTGGAGGGTCATCAAAGGAAAAGCGAAGGGAGATCGAGGTGATGGAGGCGGAAAAGGGAAGAAGGGCGGCGACGAGATGTTCCGGCCGATCATCACGCCGTGGGGAACGAAGTTTCACACCCATAGGTTCTGCCCAACGCTGGCGAACTCCAGAACCCTGGTGATGTCACCATGGTGCCTGCACTGTGCACCAAACGGTGGACAGCTGAGAGCACCAGTATACGCCATGGGTCCGGGCGCGCCTGCTCATTCCGATGTGGGATGTCCAAGATGTCAACCCAGTACGAATGTATCAGGTGTGTAACATCTGTTTGGAAATTGAAGAATCATGATGGGATAGCGATCCCGAAACGGCTTGACCTAAGCACAGATTTTGTAGGGGTGCTCCGCGACCATGTGCGGGCATCCAGCGATTCTCAATGGTGGCCGTGTGCCTGCCGGCATGCGACCAGGGGGAGTGCAGATGTCCCCAGTAGGAACATAGAAGTAGCATGGCACCAAGGCATGACATGCCCCTGCCGCAAGGATGACATGCACAGGACCATGTGCACCAGCCGTTTTGACCTCAAAAAGTGCAGCACTGAGCTGTGCATGCGGCCCTCAGGTTGGTGGTTGGAGGAGAACCCCCAAAAGCTTGGTGAAGGGGTCAGTTTTGAAGGGTGGATGAGTAGCCCCCAAAGCCATAGAGGCGAATAGAAACCACCAAGCTTCTATCCTCAAACAAGCAGGAGAATAAAACCACAAGGTTGCGGAACGTGCACAAAACTCAATCATTCATTGTTGATGCTGGTTTAAGTGTGCCACACAGTGCCCTCATCAGATTGTTCCTTTCTAGGAAGCTCTTTGATGAGATCTTTGAACAGCTTTCTGCAACCTCTGGTAATCAAGCATGGGAATGGAAAACCCCCTATCTACAGATGATTACAGATCATCTAAATATTCTCCTTTAGATGCGCATTTATCGCGGATTTTCCCAGCTGGGCATGTTTGATGACCAGAGGGTACTTGGTTTTTTCCCCCATGTCAAATCGTTTTGGGAAGATCTCCGACTTGGCAGAGGTGCTTTGGGCCCTGCGATCGGTGCCCTTGAGCTACTACAGGGCTGCTGAAGCTGTACGTGCCAAGTGGCAAGGATGCACCACAAGACAAGCCGAAGCAATACAAAATGCTGATCCTTTGTTTGTGGAATGGACCATTGCGTCTTGGCAGATTCTGAGAGCTTCTGCTGGCACTCACCACCTTACACGACTATAGCCCATCCACATAGGAAATAGCCCCCTAAATTGAGTCCCTGAAGTGAAGAGAGTATGAAGGGGAAGGGATTAGAGTCTACGAAATATTTGGAACAGTGCTCACATGTGGCATGGCAGTCATGGAAGCAAGGATGACATGCACAAAACGAGATGTCAGTGTAGGAATCCATTCCAGTTCACATGGACATGAAATCATGTCTGACTTTACATCGCCAGGCCCTTTTAGGCACAAAACAGCGCGCGTTACGGCTGTTGTTTGACATGGTAGCGGAGCTGAAGACCAGCTCACGCAACTTTCTTTGATCCTGCCTTTTGGGAGCTGCTGGAACTGGACAGATCCAAATACAATTGCAATACTGGCTTTGGGACTTCATACTGGGGATTTTTGTGATCCAATACAGGTGTCTCTGAACAGGTGCGTTGGATCTATATACATGTCTGGCTGCAAACGTGAGAGAAACAATTTGGTTGCCACGTGATTTTCTTTGAGGTGAAATTTCAGTGAGTGGAATTTTCATTTGTGCTCAGTGCTGGAGTTGAATGGCAACTGCGCCTGATGGAAGCGCAGTGTTGCCTGCTGCTGGAGATGGTTCACCCCCTGCAGGAGGTGGTGGCATGGATGTGAACGTTGCAATGCGTATGGTTGCAGCGGCAGAGGCGGCAGCTGAAGCTGCAAGGGCAGCTACCAATCTGGCTTCAAGGAGCACTTCAGAGGATCAGGGAAAATCTTGGTGGAAATTACTTCCACGGCCTCCAGTATTTGACCACTCCTCAAGGGAGTCAGAGATAGCAGGTTGGAAAGAATGGAGTTGGATGTTTGAGCAATATGTTGCATCTGTTGATACGAGATTTTCAGATGACGTCCAGCAGATACGGTCCAACTTGAACACCACAGTGGATCCAGTGGATTTTTCAGACAGTGAGAAGCAAAGGAACAGCTTTTTCTACAGCTTATTGTCTTCACTTTTGCGGCAGAGACCTTTGCTGGTTGTTCGACAGGTTTCTGGCTCAAATGGCTTCGAGGCCTACAGGTTGCTGATTCAACAAAATGAACCTTTGTCAAAGAACCGTAGCATGGGTTTGTTGAACGTGATCATGAATTGGCCTACGTTTTCAGGTAAGATGTCATACATGCAGCAGATCCTAAAACTGGAACATGCCTATGCAGAGTATGAGAAGTTGGGTACAAGGTTGAATGACGATCTGAAAACAGCTGTGTTGATGCGCAGCATTACAGGTCAACTCAAGACATGGTTGCAACTGCAAGTGTCAGAGACAACAACCTATGCAAAAGTGAGAGAGATGATAATGGCTTACGATGCTTCTACAACGAGATGGTCTGAACAGATGGTGCTGGGGATTGACAACAGTTCTCCAGGTACAGATGGCCCAGTCCCCATGGAGATCGACCGCATTGAGGGAAAGGGCAAAGGAAAACACAATGGCAAGGGCAAGTCCAAGGACAAAGGCTCTTCAAAGGGCAAAGCTGGAGGAAAACAGAAGGGAAAAGATGGAAAAGGCAAGAGTCAGAAAGGTGACCAAAAGGGATCAAAGGGAGGAGGAGCTGGAAAACAATCCAAGGGCAAAGGAAAAGGAGAGAAACAATGTTATGTTTGTGGCCATACAGGACACTATGCACGGGATTGCTGGCAACAGGTTCGAAATGTTTCCACAGATGGTGGACAAGGATCTACGGTGCAGGGATCTCCTGCGTCATCAGCAGGTGGCATGTCGAGCGTGTCACATTCTCAGCCTGTGTCTCAGCCAAGCAATTCTGCCTTGGCCACCCAACATCGTGTTGCAAGAATCTTGGAAACTGGTGATGATGTTAAACATGATGAACTGGTTTTCGACCTACGTAGTTCAGGGTCTTCACATTTCAGTGGCAATGTCAACGCTTTGCATTACTTCATTGGTGATGGTGATGATGATTTCCAAAGCATGGGACATGTCAGAGCAGTCATTGATGAGATGAGTGACAGCGGTGAAGAGATGTTCAACATTTTGTTGGATTCAGGAGCTGATGCATCTATTTTCCCTGTGACCTTGCTTGGAAAAGGTAGACCGACAGAAGGTGTTGTTGGGAAGTTGCATGATGCGCAGGGAGCTGAGATCCCAATTGATGCTGTCCAAGACATGGAAATCAGGTTGAAAGATGTGAGTGGAAGCACAGTGATTTTGCGTGAAAGGGTTGCGGTTTCAAAGCATGTTAGCCAACCAATTCTGAGCTTTGGTCGTCTTCTTGAAGGAGGCTGGTCAATTGATGGATGTCAACAAGCGCTCACCCACCATGCAGGGGCCAACATTCCAGTGGAGTTGCAAAACAAATCTCTGATGGTGCAAGGAACAATACGTGTTTTGCGTGAGTCATGTGATGTTGTTGACATGCATGTCAGGGCAATTCAAGCTGATGTCATGGAACATGTTGTTGAAGGATGTGTTGGATGGGATTTAGATGCCTATGGTCAAGGACTTGGAAGGCACTTCGACAACAAGTACCAGGACCCCAGTTTGGTAAAGCCTGATTTGCCTGGACGTTTCTGCAGAACCACGCTGATTGAGGGCGATGACAAGAAATGGTATGTTGTTGAATTGTGCGAGAGACTGGATGGTTTTGATTCAGTATGATGCAGAATTCTATGAGATGAGTGGCAAGCGCAACATTATTACCATTTTGACTGATGGTGAGAAAGATCCTCTTGTGATGGGATTTACATTGATGGATGCAGAGCCCCAAGCGTTTCCAGTGCAAGCTGATGAAGGTGATGTGGAGATCTCAGAGGAGATTGAACCGGCTGATGAAGTTGTAGGTGTTGAGATTCCAGAGGGACAGATTACAGTTCAGCCGTCTTCAGAAGAAGAAATCAATGTCAATGGAACTGTGTTGAAACCTGACAGTGGGCTTGCAGCACTGAGGGCAGGTTGTGCGTTCTATGGTCTTTCGAGTTCAGGTTCCAAGCAACGGTGTTTTCAGAGGATGCTGGATCATCAGAAGAAATTGGAACTTGATATGGTACTTGCTGCTTCACAAGATGCCTTGCAACAACTTGGTAGGCAGCCACGTGGACCGCCAGCTGCAGAGGTCCCTTCAGAAGCAGAGCAAGCATTGACCCATGTGCCTTTTGCAAGTTGGTGCCCCAGTTGCATTGCTCACAGAAGCAGGCCAGACAGGCATGAGAGGACAGGTGAGTCACATGCCAACGCAGTCCCTACGATCAGTTTTGATTTCTTTTACACAAAAGCAGATGGAGAAGCGCCTGGTGAAGATGCTCCAGATACAATTTTGGCGCTCATCATGGTTTGCAGTCAAACCTCATATGTTGCATGCGTGCCTTTGCAAGGGAAATCCCAGTTGGATTTGATGAACAGGGAATTGGTGCAGTTTGCACAGAGGCTGGGACATGGAGAAGTGATTTTCAGATGTGACAATGAGCCTGCAATTCTTCAACTGCAAAGGTTAGCAACCAAAACGAGACAAGCAATGGGATTGAAAACCAGAATGACGAGCTCAGTGGCCTATGACCATGGGAATGCCCTAGCTGAGAACGCAATTTCACGTGTCAGGTCTCTTGCGTGCTCACTGATGCATCATCTTCATGGACGATTGGGCATTCAGCTTTCAACAACAAGTGCGTTGTGGTCTTGGGCACTCAGACATGCTGCATTTCTGGTGAGTAGATTTTCAGTGATCAATGGGGCAACCCCATATGAGCTTGCGTATGGAAGACAATTTACTGGCACTTTGTGTGAATATGGTGAACCGGTTTTTGCTTTCATCCACCCTGGGACAAAAGCTACACCCAAGTGGAGACGTGCACTCTTTCTGGGCAAGTCAGAGGACCAGAACAGTTTTGTGTTGTTTGATGGGCAAGCAGTGGTGTTGTCAAAGAATGTCAGAAGGATTCAAACGACATGGAGAAGCCACATGGCTTACTATCTTCACTGCAAGTGCTACTCATGGCAATACAAATCTGGCTTTGGAGCAAGGGTGTTACCAACCATGAAAAAGGCGGTACCAAAAGCCGTCAGCTTTGAGGTCCCCATTGGACCTGTGGAAGGAAACAAACTTCACGATGAAGAAGCTGAAGCGGTGATCAAGTATGCTGAACAGGAAAAACGTGCTGAAGAAGAACAATTTGCAATGGGCCAGAATGACCCCTTGGCTTTGCAGTTTCAACAACAGCAAGAGCAACAACAAGTGGTGAATCCTACGGTTTTTGATGATCACATTCCCATTGACACATCAACTGCCCAGGTGATTGGTGAGGCAGGAGGAGCTAGTGCTGCTCCCAGTTCAGTTGCAGATCCTGGTTTGATGATTCCAGTCACACCTCCTCGTGACTATGTTGAGTTGGAAAGTCCCCGTCTTCCTGCATCTACAAGACCCAATGAGGGTGATGAGAATGAGTCTACAAAAAGGGCTCGAGTGGAAGATGCAAAGAAACAACGTATTAACCGTTTGAGACAGGAGTATGAAGACAGACTTTCTGCAGTGAAAATTGAGTACAAAGAGTACTTCACCATGGATGATTACTCAACTGACCTTGATGTTGAGCATGGTTTGGAGGAGGAGCAAGATGATTGGATTGGAGAGGATGAGATTCAACTGACTGGCATTCCAGAACAACTGTGGGCAGACTTTCCTTTTGAGTCTACACCGACAGAACCGCCAGCTGCTTGGATTGATGAGCTTGCTGACCAGACAGAAGTGAAAAGGCTGGTAGAGATGGGAGTGCTGGTGGTGGCAAACCAATTTGATGGTGCAGTAACTGGCAGTTTGAGTACAAAATTCGTGAGAGATTGGCGACTCAAGGACTATGTTGACAGCAATGGAGGTGTTGTCAAGCGTTGGATGCGCAGATCCCGTTATGTTGCCCGAGAGTTTGCAAATGTGCGCAGATGGGACACATTCAGTCCAGCAACAGGAGCTCACACTTCAAACTTACTTCCTTTGAAGTATCTGTGGCAGAAACAATTGGCTGCAGAAATGAGTGAGGGAAAAGCATATGAGGTGGTGCTTGGTTGTTTGGATGTGAAAGATGCGTTTTTGCAAGTGGCACAACAAGAGCCAATTCTTGTGACCATACATGGGGAAGAATATGTGATACAACGCAATCTTCCTGGTCAAAGATTAGGTGCTCGAGCCTGGTATGAATGTCTGCGTGACTTCCTCAGCAAGGAACTTGAGTGGATGATCATCATTCACGTGGATGACATCATGTTTGTTGGAAGCAAAACTTACTGGCAGGATGTTTTTGTGAATCGCATGAGTGAGAAGTTTTCCATATCACATTCTCAGTTGGATGGAGTTGGAACAAGCGTGAGTTTCTTGAGACGCAAAGTGACAGATATGGGTGATTGGCTGATGCTGACTCCAGGCATCAGTACCTCCAAAGTGGTGAAGGTTTTCGAAGAATCATTTGGTGTTGCACGAGCTCAGAAGATTCCATGCAGTGCTGAAATTCAGATGGAAGATGTTTCTCAAAAGCTGAATCCAAGAGATGCTACAGCATATCGATCAATTGTTGGATTGTGCCTGTACATTGGTCGAGAACGTCCTGACCTGATGTTTACAATTAAGGAGTTGGCTAGTGGAATGTCAAGCCCAACATTGACAGGACTTCAACGGCTGCGTAAGCTGGTGGGGTACATGAAACATGTTGGTGACGTTGGTGTAAAACTTGTGACGCCTCTCCCAGGTCAAGGAAAGTTTTCCAATGATGGTGAACACTTTTGGGTTCTGGAAACATACAGTGACGCTGACTGGAGTGCAAATCGATCCCACAGGCGCAGCACATCATGTGGGATGCATTTCCTGAACAATTCCTTCCTCTACGGTAGCAGCAGGACTCAGAAAACAATTTCACTTTCTTCTTGTGAGAGCGAGCTTCACAGCCTGGTAAGCTCAATGTGCGATGGCCTTTTCATCATAGCATGTGCACAGTTTGTTCTGGGAGAATCAATTCACCATGTCCAATTCACAGACAGCAGCAGTGCCAGACAGCTGGCCAGTCGTCAAGGTGTTGGAAAAGTTCGACACTTGTCTGGAAAGGTTTTGTGGGTACAACAGATGGTGAACGATAAGCTGGTGATCCTCAGGCAACTGCCTACAGCGGTGAATTTGGCTGACATTGGGACAAAGAGCTTGGCAAAACAAAGGCTTTCTTATTTGATGAATGAAAGTGGTTTAATCTATGTTGCAACTGGTGAAGAGGTTGGATGGGAAGAAGCGCAACAGCAAAAGGAGAAAAGCGCCAATAGCCAACAAATCAAAAGGATAGCCAAAACGATTTTCAACATGAGCGTTGCTATGGGCCTTGGGCCGGTGGTTGTGGATGCTCAGCAGTGTTCGGAGCCAAGCAGTGGCACAAATGCTTGGTGGATGCTGGGAATTTTTCTGGTGATTTTTCTTGCGGCATTTTGCCGGTTTGGCTGGCGCAAATGGATGCAGATGAGAAAAGACATGGAGAATGTGGAAACTCAATTGGCAGATCATTATGAGTATGCCGCATGGCTTTGTGAGAGGTTGAATAATATGACATGGATGAGAGATGCAATCCATGCCCTGGGTGAACGGTTGGATCAGTTGGCAAATCGCATTGCAACCAATGCAGATGACACAAGAGATGCACTGACTGTTTTGGACGATGCAACTGACGTTGTGCGCTATGGGTTGATGGAGTTTGGAGGGTTTGTGAGGAACCAAAGCCTCACAGGACAACAAAGGACCCATATGTTTACTCAGGAAAGGGCAAATTTTGTCCTATGGAACATGCAGAGAAACCGACCAGATGACACTGACCCTTTAGAAGATGCAGAGGAAGAACGACTGACAGATGATGAGGTTGAGCCTTCATCTACAGAAGGTATGAGCAACCTGATGGACGCAATGAGGAGAGAACAAAACATTGCATTGACAAGAGAAGCATGGGAGGACGCCTCAATGATCCAACAGGCGCTGATTACAATTCTGGATGCAAGTTCTGGAACAAATCCTGTTGGAATGACTATGGGCGTGATTGAAAGGATCAGAAGTATCTTTCAAAGACTGCACAGGGTAGCACGAAATCGTGGACACAACGACCGTGCAGGATCTTACCTACGGTATGTGGAGGACCTTCATGGAATTATGCGTGGATGAGAATTCAATGGCTTTTGAAGTGATAGCTTTTCAGAAAGAAGCGCTGAATAGACTGTCATTGGATGCCAAAAGAAATTTGCAAAAGAGGCAAGTTGAAAACTCAGCCTTTTTGAGGAGGAGTACGAAATATTTGGAACAGTGCTCACATGTGGCATGGCAGTCATGGAAGCAAGGATGACACGCACAAAACGAGATGTCAGTGTAGGAATCCATTCCAGTTCACATGGACATGAAATCATGTCTGACTTTACATCGCCAGGCCCTTTTAGGCACAAAACAGCGCGCGTTACGGCTGTTGTTTCACAGAGTCAAAATTCACCCAATTGTTACAGTATTCCTTTGAACTTGGTTGCTCCCTTTTACCTGTTCAAACTGATCCACTGTCGAGTTTCCTCTATTCACATTTGTGACCGCCTCACTGTTCCACCAACTGCAGTACCGTAGCAGACGCAGATAGTGGTCACAGTGTCCGCCAGAAGCACAACTGGAAGAGAATGAGGAACCACTTGATATACAGGAAATCACCAATCTTTTTGGAGACAAGTTGTGCCCAAGTTCATCCAATTTCCTGTTTCCATCAATCAGGTCACCATGGTCATTGTCTTTGCTATTCTTATCCTGGCAACAGCCGTGCCTGACATTCAAGTGGTGATGTCCTTCGGAGGATCACTGGGTGGAACCTTTATCGCCTTCATGGCCTTGGGCTGGCAGATTGGGATGATTGTCCCCAAATGACCAGCATATGATCTTGGGAAACAAAACTAGTTCTATTTCTATACATGTGTTATTGCGTTTCCTAATCCCATCATATGCATTCATATGCCATCCATATATTTGCTTACAAAACCGGCTGCTGATTGGGGAAAAAGATCAAGCATGCCGTCCCGTTCAACAAAGTTGGAGGGCAGATACCACATCATCCACAAATCATAAGTCATTTTAGGAGGTTCTAATGGTTCAGCTGATGACACGGGAGGGTATCCCTTCCCTCCCATGGTGCCAAGGTATCCCGCGCTATTCCACTTGAAGGTTGTCAAGGGCCATGAATCGTTGAGAGATGCCCTGAGACGCCACAATGCCGCAGAGCTGGCTGTTATTGCCATGAGTGTCGTGTATGTGTGGTATGTCTTTCCATTTCGCTGCAGAAGAAAGTGCGGACGCTGGGAGAGGGACAGACTTCGGAAGCTGTACAAAGTGACAGCAATTCCAGCACCTTGATGCTGTGGAATTGACTGGCTGGCTATGGCTGGCTGTAACTCTGTTGATATATGATGTCCTTATTTGGGATAAAGATCCCAGCTAGGACCTTGATTGAGTTCGTGATGATTTACAGCCAATGAAGAAGCTGAGGGCCGGGAGCTATTGGCCGAGCCGTGACAGGGTCCAGGGTCAGACGTGGGAAATCAGAGGCATTACATCGCATGTCCCCAAATGGATAGATGATGATACATGTCAATGTCAATTTTTAGTTGTTGTTTGTGGGTTCATTGGGAGACCTTCGGACCCATACCAGTTGAGCCGTGTAGCCAAAGCCATTCAAATGGGAGAAATCTTGCGAATCCGACTTTGATTTTCGATAATTCATGATTTTGCAATGTTTTCCTGGGAGGATTGATGATCAATTTTCCCTATGAACAGCAGATGTTTAATGATTATGATTAATGATGATTAATTTCCCCTATGTTTTCTTCCTTAAACAGGAGTTTCCCAGACTCAGAGCCATGTTTTTCGGTCAGAAACTCCGCCCATCGCCACACGGTCCAAGGGAGGGCTGAGGTAACCTCTGCAAAGCGACTCCGTGCACCGGGTCCTAGTGGTTTTCCGTGGTTTTCCGGGGAGGTGAATTTGTTTGTTCTTTCTGGGCAAAGGAATCAACATTTTTGGAACATGTTCAACAAGACAAAAAACAGTGTTTGTTTTGATTGGTTGATTGGTGGGGGTATAGTGTTAGTGTCCTAACTAACCACCTATTCTTTTTGCGAGTTGTCGAAACATTGGAAATAGAAGTGAGAAGCCAAGCACCATTCAATTACAACACCGATTAGGTGGTATTAGATGGACAAATATCCTGAGGATGGATAAAACACCTGCAGATTGGGCAGATGGAGATCACAACCATGGTTTGTGTTTGTTAAGCATTGTGTGTACTGTTTTTTGAATCTATTCTGTACGTAACAGCATTCTTTGAAGTGCTGAGCAGTTTCTCAGGATTTGTCCTGCACGGATGTGCCATGTCAGGGACATAGGACTTGCCAAGGTTGACCGAAATGATGTTGGTCATGTTGAAAATGCTGATAGTTGGGCTCATGATGCTGCTTGTGGGGGTCCAGTCGCTGGTAAGTGCTGGTGGTGACAACCATTCCAACAGCACCGAGGGTGTCAAGACGGTACCCTTTCTGTCTTTGCTTGCCTCGAGGTGATGACCGGTGGGGTATCCCAGTTCTTGCTAGCCGGCCAAAGTTCCTTCGTCATTCCTGCAGGTGTGTGTTTGTTGTGAATCTGTCATTCCCAACGGAGGAACCCTCCACCCCGGATTGACTCTGGCCTCAGCATGCGGCCTCCTTAAGGCCGCTCTGCACAGTGGGTGGTCCAAGCAGATGGACGTTGGCGGTTGGTGGTGGTTGGTGGTGGTTGGTGGTGGTTGGTGGTGGTTGGTGGTGGTTGGTGCTGGGACCGAATGCAGAAGTCATGGAGGGGTTGGCTGGGATATATAGATATGGTCGTTGAACCGGAAAATGAACCCCAATAGGTGGATGATCATGGACAATCTGCGTCTACGAAGATGCGGGGAATGTTCCAGCGACATGTTGGAAGACAGGGCAACATTTGTGCTATATACTTTTGTTATCTTTTGTTGAGCATAGAACCAATGGGCAGGGGATGCAGGCAAGGTTTGTGACGGTCGGATGCTGAAGTCTTTCGAACCGTCTTCGTTGATTGTTGGGCAGGTTCACTGGGTGCCCCAAATCCCCTCCATTTTCTCCACAAACCGCATGGCTGTGGGCCGGGGTTCATTTTTGCAACTTCAAATATAGGTATGGGTCAAAATTCAAGACCTGCAAAACCACAAATGTTGGTTATCCTTTGATTCAACCATCCCATGTTTAATCCATTCTTGGGCAGCCAGGTTTCGACCCATTCCATCCCATTCCGTGAAAAATGCAGCAGCTCAGGCTGGGTCCAGTAGCACTGGTGGGTGCCGGCCCAGGGGATCCCGAACTGTTGACCTTGCTGCTCGGCGTTTTCAGCGAGTTGGCCGTTACTGGGAGAAGATTCAAAACGCTAATGGGTGCTCGATGAGTGATGGGAATTTTGGGATTAATGAATGACCAGACACGGAAAATATGGGAAAAAAGGCATGGTGAACGGCAAGAAATGGTGATTTAAGGGATAGAAAAAGGAGTTTTTTCCCTACGACGAGGATTCAAAGCTGCCACAAGTTCTAGTCATACCTTCTTCCAAGAGGAAGGAATTGTGCAACTTCCTTCAAGCCAACGACGTGACCGGTTCAAGGGCATGCTTGGAATGTCAGAAAGAGGCCCATTGATATGGCGAAGTTGGTTGCCAAGTAAAGGCTATTGAAACGTTCCATCCACTTATTTATATCAAGATAAACAGGAACCAATGTTTCTCCTCGAAGTCATTACATGTCCAGCAAGGAGGAACCAGACCGTGAACATGTCAGCTATGCAGTTATGTTTGTTGTTGTTTCACCTTCAGTGGCTAAGCAGTGTTGATTCGCAGGCGAGCCCTTCGAAAGCTTGAAGCCCCTCGGCCGAACAATTGTCAAACAGAGATGTGAAAAGACCACCTTCGTCGTGTTTAAACAGAATTATTCCTGTCTTTTGTTGCTTCTGTTTGTTGGTAGTGATGTCTTTGCATCAGTCAGACGTGTCTCACAGCATCCCCTCAAGCGACAGGCTGCAGATGTTGTACTGCACGACAGCTTGATTCCCGAAGAGGTGGGGCCTAGAACAATCCTGGGTCTGGAAGGGTGTAGCATTTGGCCATGCCTCATTTTTTTGGGCCTAAAGTCCCAAGCCAATCCAAACCACACATGTTGCAGAATTGTTGCACATGTTGAGTATCAAACAGTAGTTCAGCCCGAAATGTGTCAAACTTCAGAGTATGGACACAGAATGGGTCAGAATAAGGGACACTGAGGACTAGATTGACCAGATTTCAAGATTTTTGGGATCCCGGATCCCATTGTTGTTGTTGTTGTTGTTTGATGTTGTTTGCGCTTCAGGTCATTAGATCATTGGAACAGTCATCGTCAGCCACCCAATCAAAAGAAGAATATGAATGATATGAACATCTAACACATTCCCCAACATGTTCTTCATTTTTTAGCATTCAAAACTTGACAACAATCATTGGATTGGTGTAAGGGAAAATTTACAGGAAACCCTAAACCAAGATGAAAACAAACCATGAAAAACATGGGTTTCTTGTAGATGTTCCCCTAAGAACCAACCAATGGGTTTCTTGATGTTTCTGGTAGCTTTTTTCCCTTTATACCAATGCATTGAGACACCCAAAGCACCACCGGATTTTGTCCATGCTCCACGTCCAGGTTCTGAATTTCGTGCCTAAGACCGCGAAGTTGATCAACGTCGGTAAGCGCTGTGGCGATGTGAAGGCGATGTTTCAACGCTGGAAAATCACCATGGTTTCATGGGAAACCCGTGGAAAATCACCATATATCATAGGAACACATATAGGAAACCCATCTATAAATGGGCCGTTTTCCCTAGCCATGCTAGTTTATTGAAGGGTATCATCAAACTGGACTGGAGTTATTTGGAGTTCACTGATTTCACAAAAAAAAGCAGGAAGCAACGGTTTGCATTGGATATAGTGGACAAAAAAAGCATCAACAACAGCAAGAATTTGCTGAGCTTGTATATGTGAAACGGAAGAGAACTGAGTGTGCTTCCCAGACTTGAATGAAGGGAACATGTGCAGGAAATCACCCTTATAGTCTTTGCACATTGTTCTCTTGAAACCACTCCAAAATTAAAATCAGATGAAGATTCCCAAGAAATAGCAACGAACCAATGAACCAATCCAAAGTCTTCAAAAGATCTCAGTTCAGAAAAGGCAACTTTGGAGAATCATAGAGAATCATAGAGAATCTATATGTTGCTAGCTTTGAGACCTCCAAAGTGTCGCTTTCCGAGGACCGAGGTCTCCAGCAACAGGCGCCATGAAAACTTCTGGGAAGCTCTGGAGCGGAGTTTTTGCACCAAGAAATGTGGAGATTGAGCCAACAATAGCCAATATATATATATATATATATCAATTTACAGTAACATAAAGACATTAATTAATTAGATGAGGTTGCCAACTTTCCATGGCTGCAACTTGCTTCAACCAGGGAATAAAGATCTTCACCGCCAACCAGAATTGCCCAGACCCAATACCGCACCTTTCATTTCATATACTTCAAAGAGGTGATTTTGTCTTTGCCTTGATACAAGACCGTTTGCTTTAAAATCTGCAAGTCACTTGGCAGTAAAGCTTTGAGATTCGTTCCCAGCCAGGAGATCCACGAATTGATGTTGGTGAATAGCCGCCGTGGATGCAAGGTCGTCCGATTGAAATGTCGAGAACTCATTGTGCTTTGGAGATGTTTGATTTGCAACAGCAAACATTCCAGGATCAATGGTCGGATAGGTCACAGGCACCCCAAACCCTGGGAGCCCTGAAATGGTCCTAATCCGTCAGATGAGGCGGCGATCCTTTCATTTTTGGCCGCGGGGGTGAGGACTGGGGCTGCTGCCATGTCATCCTCCTTTTTTTGAGGTTTCATGGAGGTTTCATTAGATATGTTGTTTTGTCATGTTTTGTCATGAACAAAGGCACATTGTGTCTGAAAGTCGGATCCCCTCAGACATGGTATAGGGCGGCTCCCTCATAACACCCAAATACCACTGTTGGTGATCGTTGGTGATCCCATCGTATCCTATCATAAAAATGTTGGTTTTTCTGAGTTTTTCTCCTCCTTTTTGTTGGAATGCCACCGAACATCGCATGTAGCTGGACCACACAACAAAACCCTGCGGCGATCCCGTCGCTGATAGGAGCTGGAATTTCTGGCAGAGCACCAGGCCGGCGCGGCTAGAGATGGGATGACGGGATTCCATGGGTTTTGTTTGACACAAAGACAGATATCCAAGGAAATTTTCGTAAAATATCGGAATCGAAATTGTTACTGAAGTGTAGGAAGTTTGGTATGGGAAGTTGTTGTAACACTATATCCCAAGGATTTGAAATGATTTGAAAGGTACAGTTAATGATTCGGTTTGCTTGACTGATGGGTTGATTAAGAAGATAAACTAGGGTGAACTGGCAGATGGATGTGCCGGGATGATTACTGTACGCTCCGAGTAAAACTTCAACATATTTGAAAAATGTTATACAGGACAATCTATATCCCAAGTTTTTCTTGACTAATGCGCAACAGTCTCAATTGTTTCATGCTGGTGTGTTGCATGAGTCTAGATAATTTAAAGCAACGTTTAGTAGAATGATGATCACTCACTAGATACTACTGTAGTCTGTGAAGGCAAACACAACCGCAAGACACTTCAGATCAGCTTAGGGATTCACTATTTGTTCAGGCTATTCCAGATGATTCTCATTGATTATCAGTGATCATCCATTTTCATAGGGATTTCATAGGGATTTCTGCCGGTTCTGCCATGCATTCCCATGGCATGACCGCCCTACGGCCCGGCACTTGGCCAGGTCCCATGCGAGGTGGTGCCAGGCATCACATCCGCACTGGGAGCTGCGGCCAGTTGCCAGGCCAGGTAGCCATGGTTGGATAGGGTTTACCTGGTTATTTTCATGGAAATTCCAACAGAAAATGGGTGATTTGGGATTTGGGGGTATCCATGGTGAGAACTGGATCTAACTGGGGGTATGCCGCCATTTGATGGAAACCTCCAGATGTGGGACGACCAGTCGTCACCGTTTCGCCAGCAGCTCGGCCGTTTCGCCGGTGAGGTGCCCCTGACCCATCGGGGCTTCAGCACCAATCACCTGCATTTCTGCGTGGGGCAAAGCAAGGCCAAGAGCCTCCCCGCCGCCCGAAGTTCAAGCCCTGGGAGACACCACTTGGGGAATTTTGTCACCCTTTACTGGATGAATATGCTCAGAATACATCAGATTACCAGAATTCAGGACCAGAAAATTGTTAGATACTTCCCCGATGAACTTCATGTGTATGTTTCCCTGGTGTGAGGACCGTCAAAATATTCGAGGCTGAGAAACCACAGTTGAACTGGGTCAACCTTGGTTAAATAATGTTAAATACTTTAGTACTTGAATCTTTTGCTATTAATGGTAAAACCTACTAACCAGCTAAAAAATTACATACTGTAGACTTTTTGCTGGGTATCTAAGATTGGCCATGTGAAGCAGTCACAGATAAAATATGCCGGGTGCCCGCTGGTCAGGTGCCCTCTTCCCTTCTTGTCTTTTTTATGATTCAATGTTATTCAGGTAATTTTCTTGCTTCTTCTCTGTAGACGGCTCCAGGTCAATATTCATGGGTAATCATGTATATGATCTATACTGTGCATATTACCTGTATGATATTTCAAAACCCAGTGGCTTGGTTGTGGCTATGGGTTTAGATGCTATTGGTCTTCATTTGTGAAGGCCTGGCGACACCTTGGCTCAGCTGTGGATTGTAGAATTTTTCCCAGCTTTAGCTTTGCGAAGCCATGGGCTCCGCCACCGCGGCTTCCGTGTATGGGAGGAGGTTTCCGGTGACTGCCCGCTCCCATGACGATCCCCAAAAGCTTCGATGGGGGATGGTGGATGGCAGGAGCCAGGCACAGCAGCAGCTGAAAATGGCAGAGCTGGAAGAGGAGGGCAGGAGGAGGTCGCGACTGCCGAAGGAGGAGAAGGAGGAGAAGGAGGAGAAGGAGGAGAAGGAGGAGAAGGAGGAGGACAAACCGTTGTTTGGCTTCCACTTTGCCATTGCCCACTACGACGCCTTGCGGGCTGCAAAGAAGCGTGCAGTGGCAGAGGCGGAGAGAGGGGTTGAGGAAGGTCTTGTTTGGATCAGTCACGGTTGGGTTTCAAAGTGGCCTAGCACAGTCATGTACAATGAACATTTGACCATCATTGTTATCAAAGCCTTTTTTCCAGCTATCCGATAAAGGTGGTAGTCATTGATGCAGTGCATGGTTATGGCGAGATGCACAGTTTTGGCACGGCAAAATTATTCGCTGTTGCTCTCAGCCTTTGCACTTTTCAGGCAGAGAAAGTGAAATCCCCTGCTGAGCCACTCGAGGCAGAGACAGTAGGTTTCAACAATGTCTTGTCACCATGGTAGCAAGCTGGAGTTGTCTCTTGCTGTAGCAAGGGATGTGGGGCGGTCCAATTGCCAAACCCATGAACAAATCATGCAAACCTTCCTGTTTGACACGGAGTCATTCCATCGAGCCTACTACACCCAACTCATTCCCACTTAGTCGCTCCACTCACTCCACCTCAGCTCGCTCTGATCATCTCACCCTCCTCCATGTTCCCTTTAGCGTCTCCCCTTTCACTACTAGCTCCCATGGCTTTCCATGTCTTCTCCCCTGTCCCCCCTTTTTGCTCAGCTTTCGTTCACCAACATTCACGGACTTAAATTTGGACCATTCCCCATGGAACTTTGCTCGTGTTCCATGACCATCATCAGCCCGTAGTTCCAGCTAAACAAGATGAAAGCAGAAATCTTAATGTGCCAGATGGCGCACGTGAAACAGATATTGAAACATCGAGATTGAAAATGCAATATCTTCAAGCTTTGCTCCTTTCCTGGTGGAGGAGTCGGAAGTCTCTCCTGAGTCTGCAGGGGAGGCAGGAGCAGTGGGTTTGAACAAGGGCTTTGCTTGGATCAAAGTTGTGTAGCAAAGCCAAGTGCGAAAAGAAAAACGATGGCGTTTGTTTTCAGTTTGTAACATGTTGCAACCGGACTTGCTGGCTTCTTGTGAGCGCCGCAGGCTGCTGAGGCGGAGGGCATTGACGAGACTCTTCATGGCATTGCCCCTGATGCAGAGGCAGTGGGTTTGAATGTTGTCTTGTTTGGACCATTCCCCATGGAACTTTGCTCGTGTCCCATGACCATCATCAGCCCGTAGTTCCAGCTAAACAAGATGAAAGCAGAAATCTTAATGTGCCAGATGGCGCACCTGAAACAGATATTGAAACATTGAGATTGAAAATGCGATATCTTCAAGCTTTGCTCCTTTCCTGGTGGAGGAGTCGGAAGTCTCTCCTGAGTCTGCAGGGGAGGCAGGAGCAGTGGGTTTGAACAAGGGCTTTGCTTGGATCAAAGTTGTGTAGCAAAGCCAAGTGCGAAAAGAAAAACGATGGCGTTTGTTTTCAGTTTGTAACATATTGCAACCGGACTTGCTCGCTTCTTGTGAGCGCCGCAGGCTGCTGAGGCGGAGGGCATTGACGAGACTCTTCATGGCATTGCCCCTGATGCAGAGGCAGTGGGTTTGAATGTTGTCTTGTTCGGACCATTCCCCATGGCATTCTGCTCCTGTCCCATGACCATCAAGAAGAAACCCGAAATCTTAATGTGCCAGATGGCGCACCTGAAACAGATATTGAAACATTGAGATTGAAAATGCAATATCTTCAAGCTTTGCTCCTTTCCTGGTGGAGGAGTCGGAAGTCTCTCCTGAGTCTGCAGGGGAGGCAGGAGCAGTGGGTTTGAACAAGGGCTTCGCTTGGATCAAAGTTGTGTAGCAAAGCCAAGTGCGAAAAGAAAAACGATGGCATTTGTTTTCAGTTTGTAACATGTTGCAACCGGACTTGCTCGCTTCTTGTGAGCGCCGCAGGCTGCTGAGGCGGAGGGCATTGACGAGACTCTTCATGGCATTGCCCCTGATGCAGAGGCAGTGGGTTTGAATGTTGTCTTGTTTGGACCATTCCCCATGGCATTCTGCTCATGTCCCATGACCATCAAGAAGAAACCCGAAATCTTAATGTGCCAGATGGCGCACCTGAAACAGATATTGAAACATTGAGATTGAAAATGCAATATCTTCAAGCTTTGCTCCTTTCCTGGTGGAGGAGTCGGAAGTCTCTCTGAGTCTGCAGGGGAGGCAGGAGCAGTGGGTTTGAACAAGGGCTTTGCTTGGATCAAAGTTGTGTAGCAAAGCCAAGTGCGAAAAGAAAAACGATGGCATTTGTTTTCAGTTTGTAACATGTTGCAACCGGACTTGCTCGCTTCTTGTGAGCGCCGCAGGCTGCTGAGGCGGAGGGCATTGACGAGACTCTTCATGGCATTGCCCCTGATGCAGAGGCAGTGGGTTTGAATGTTGTCTTGTTTGGACCATTCCCCATGGCATTCTGCTCTGTCCCATGACCATCAAGAAGAAACCCGAAATCTTAATGTGCCAGATGGCGCACCTGAAACAGATATTGAAACATTGAGATTGAAAATGCAATATCTTCAAGCTTTGCTCCTTTCCTGGTGGAGGAGTCGGAAGTCTCTCCTGAGTCTGCAGGGGAGGAGGAGCAGTGGGTTTGAACAAGGGCTTTGCTTGGATCAAAGTTGTGTAGCAAAGCCAAGTGCGAAAAGAAAAAAGATGGCATTTGTTTCAGTTTGTAACATGTTGCAACCGGACTTGCTCGCTTCTTGTGAGCGCCGCAGGCTGCTGAGGCGGAGGGCATTGACGAGACTCTTCATGGCATTGCCCCTGATGCAGAGGCAGTGGGTTTGAATGTTGTCTTGTTTGGACCATTCCCCATGGCATTCTGCTCCTGTCCCATGACCATCAAGAAGAAACCCGAAATCTTAATGTGCCAGATGGCGCACTGAAACAGATATTGAAACATTGAGATTGAAAATGCAATATCTTCAAGCTTTGCTCCTTTCCTGGTGGAGGAGTCGGAAGTCTCTCCTGAGTCTGCAGGGGAGGCAGGAGCAGTGGGTTTGGACAAGGGCTTTGCTTGGATCAAAGTTGTGTAGCGAAGCCAAGTGCGAAAAGAAAAACGATGGCATTTGTTTTCAGTTTGTAACATATTGCAACCGGACTTGCTCGCTTCTTGTGAGCGCCGCAGGCTGCTGAGGCAGAGGGCATTGACGAGACTCTTCATGGCATTGCCCCTGATGCAGAGGCAGTGGGTTTGAATGTTGTCTTGTTTGGACCATTCCCCATGGCATTCTGCTCATGTCCCATGACCATCAAGAAGAAACCCGAAATCTTAATGTGCCAGATGGCGCACCTGAAACAGATATTGAAACATTGAGATTGAAAATGCAATATCTTCAAGCTTTGCTCCTTTCCTGGTGGAGGAGTCGGAAGTCTCTCCTGAGTCTGCAGGGGAGGAAGGAGCAGTGGGTTTGAACAAGGGCTTTGCTTGGATCAAAGTTGTGTAGCAAAGCCAAGTGCGAAAAGAAAAACGATGGCATTTGTTTTCAGTTTGTAACATGTTGCAACCGGACTTGCTCGCTTCTTGTGAGCGGCGCAGGCTGCTGAGGCGGAGGGCATTGACGAGACTCTTCATGGCATTGCCCCTGATGCAGAGGCAGTGGGTTTGAATGTTGTCTTGTTTGGACCATTCCCCATGGCACTCTGCTCCTGTCCCATGACCATCAAGAAGAAACCCGAAATCTTAATGTGCCAGATGGCGCACCTGAAACAGATATTGAAACATTGAGATTGAAAATGCAATATCTTCAAGCTTTGCTCCTTTCCTGGTGGAGGAGTCGGAAGTCTCTGCTCAGTCTGCAGGGGAGGCAGGAGCAGTGGGTTTGAACAAGGGCTTTGCTTGGATCAAAGTTGTGTAGCAAAGCCAAGTGCGAAAAGAAAAACGATGGCATTTGTTTTCAGTTTGTAACATGTTGCAACCGGACTTGCTCGCTTCTTGTGAGCGCCGCAGGCTGCTGAGGCGGAGGGCATTGACGAGACTCTTCATGGCATTGCCCCTGATGCAGAGATTCTGCTCCTGTTCCATGACCATCAAGAAGAAACCCGAAATCTTAATGTGCCAGATGGCACACCTGAAACAGATATTGAAACATTGAGATTGAAAATGCAATATATCTTCAAGCTTTGCTCCTTTCCTGGTGGAGGAGTCGGAAGTCTCTCCTGAGTCTGCAGGGGAGGCAGGAGCAGTGGGTTTGAACAAGGGCTTTGCTTGGATCAAAGTTGTGTAGCAAAGCCAAGTGCGAAAAGAAAAACGATGGCATTTGTTTTCAGTTTGTAACATGTTGCAACCGGACTTGCTCGCTTCTTGTGAGCGGCGCAGGCTGCTGAGGCGGAGGGCATTGACGAGACTCTTCATGGCATTGCCCCTGATGCAGAGGCAGTGGGTTTGAATGTTGTCTTGTTTGGACCATTCCCCATGGCATTCTGCTCATGTCCCATGACCATCAAGAAGAAACCCGAAATCTTAATGTGCCAGATGGCGCACCTGAAACAGATATTGAAACATTGAGATTGAAAATGCAATATCTTCAAGCTTTGCTCCTTTCCTGGTGGAGGAGTCGGAAGTCTCTCCTGAGTCTGCAGGGGAGGCAGGAGCAGTGGGTTTGAACAAGGGCTTTGCTTGGATCAAAGTTGTGTAGCAAAGCCAAGTGCGAAAAGAAAAACGATGGCGTTTGTTTTCAGTTTGTAACATATTGCAACCGGACTTGCTCGCTTCTTGTGAGCGCCGCAGGCTGCTGAGGCGGAGGGCATTGACGAGACTCTTCATGGCATTGCCCCTGATGCAGAGGCAGTGGGTTTGAATGTTGTCTTGTTCGGACCATTCCCCATGGCATTCTGCTCCTGTCCCATGACCATCAAGAAGAAACCCGAAATCTTAATGTGCCAGATGGCGCACCTGAAACAGATATTGAAACATTGAGATTGAAAATGCAATATCTTCAAGCTTTGCTCCTTTCCTGGTGGAGGAGTCGGAAGTCTCTCCTGAGTCTGCAGGGGAGGCAGGAGCAGTGGGTTTGAACAAGGGCTTCGCTTGGATCAAAGTTGTGTAGCAAAGCCAAGTGCGAAAAGAAAAACGATGGCATTTGTTTTCACTTTGTAACATGTTGCAACCGGACTTGCTCGCTTCTTGTGAGCGCTGCAGGCTGCTGAGGCGGAGGGCATTGACGAGACTCTTCATGGCATTGCCCCTGATGCAGAGGCAGTGGGTTTGAATGTTGTCTTGTTTGGACCACTCCCCATGGCATTCTGCTCATGTCCCATGGACCATCAAGAAGAAACCCGAAATCTTAATGTGCCAGATGGCGCGCCTGAAACAGATATCGAAGCATTGAGATTGAAAATGCAATATCTTCAAGCTTTGCTCCTTTCCTGGTGGAGGAGTCGGAAGTCTCTGCTCAGTCTGCAGGGGAGGCAGGAGCAGTGGGTTTGAACAAGGGCTTTGCTTGGATCAAAGTTGTGTAGCAAAGCCAAGTGGGAAAAGAAAAACGATGGCATTTGTTTTCAGTTTGTAACATGTTGCAACCGGACTTGCTCGCTTCTTGTGAGCGCCGCAGGCTGCTGAGGCGGAGGGCATTGACGAGACTCTTCATGGCATTGCCCCTGATGCAGAGGCAGTGGGTTTGCATGTTGTCTTGTTTGGACCATTCCCCATGGCATTTTGCTAATGTCTCATGACCATCATCAGCTTGTAGTGAGCGAGCTAAACAAGAAAAAAGAAATCTTAATGCGCCAGATGGTGCAAGTGAAACAGATATTCAGACATTGAGATTGAAAATGCAATATCCTCAAGCTTTGCTCCCTGGTGGAGGAGTCGGAAGACTTCGCGGAGTCAGCGGAGTCCGGAGAAATTGCAGCTCCGGCCGGGCCAGTAGGTTTGAAGGTCTGTTCTTGGATCAAAGTTGTGTTGCAAAGTGGAGAAGTTCAGCAACATTTTGCTTAATTAAATCTAATCATTGCTGCAGTTTTTGTCACAACTGAAGCATAGTGCATTGCAGGCGTTGATGCAGCATATGGTCACAGTGGAGCAGTCAAACATCGAGATCTTTCATCATTTAACCCAGGTTGTCACAATCTTCAGAATTTGTTTTTTTGCTTGTGCTGATTGCAGGCAGCACCAGTGTTTGAAGAGCCCTTTGAGACCTTCCAGGGGGAACCGCAGCCGCCACAGGCTCGCCAGATTTGAAAGAAACAAATTGAACGGTCTTGGATTTTTTTTCGTGTCGACCAGAGGGTCCACCACCTTGGACCCTGGTCTCAATGGGCTTTTTCCGAGTCCCAGACTCGCCACCCTGGTCTCAAGTCACAAAAATGAATGTTTGTTTGGAGAGGAGGCAGCCTTTCCACTGTTTGTTTTGCAAATTGGATTTGAGTCATGGCAGACCGTCACAATGATGATTTCTCACCCTCGCAAATATCTTGGATGACACATCGTTGTCATGCGCTTAGTGACTTAGTGACCTAGCCTTCACCAGAGTGCAAGGGTGCAAGAATGTCGAACCTCAAAGTTGGAATTTGGCAAAGTTGGATGGATGATACCCACAAGCAGATCCAGTCGCACTTTTTCCACCAAACATCTCCATGAACTTCAGGTTCTCAACATGGTTTGAGGACAGGGCAGGGTTGGAATAAGCCTTGTCAGCTGGTTGCAGGCTAGTCCGTGAACTGTGGATCTGCGAAAGATAATTGGCCTGACGTTGCAAAGTGCCAGTCGAAAATTGCACATGCGTGCCAGGAGTGGTTGAAAGGCGCTAATGTCGTATTCTTCGTGGATGTAATTAGGGTCAAATTGTTCTGTCAAAAGGGCTGTCTCATGTTGCAAGGCTCTCCAGACATTGGGGGTTGAGCTGCAGGTTAATGGATTTCGTCATCGTTTTCTGCATGAGTTGAGATTGGGCTGGGCTCCAATATCCAAGGCCTTGCTGGTGGCGATCGGCTGCTGCGGAAAGTGGCGAGGGGTGGTTATAGCTGGTATGACCTGCAGTTGAGGGCCGCAAATTGGCACAGTTCAAATGACCAGCTCCATTAACCCGTGGCCCAGTCGAGGCGTGAACAGTGAGCGCCGTGCAATTGGATAAATGCAATGGGAGAGGAGCTGTCCAATGCTGACACAACTTCTCCCAGACAGCAGTCCGTGGGACTGCAGTGCAACGAAATACTTGGGCACAGGAAGACAGACATGTATGTATTGGAGACAGATGATATGTTGTATGAATGCATTTGATGAAATATTGGCATGGTATGCGCACATCCTCTGGGTCGCGCCTTTGCTGAGCGTCGCATCTGGGGCTCCAAGATGTAGAACGATAACAAACCACTTTTCTGACAGACCAATGCGAAGGCCGTCTTCTGTTTATTTTGCTTCCTTGTCAGCGTTGGTAACTTGCAGATCTACCCAGCACTTCTAGCTCAGCAAGAAGCCGGAGAGCGTGGAAGCCCTTGTTGCTGTGGTTGCGACTCACCACTACAGAGAAAAAAAGGCGCCCCACTGGAACCGGAGTTTTTTCTTCCAACTTGAAGATTTTACATACAATCTAAAATCCAAACTAGCGAAGTGTTTTTGCGGCCAGGCGATAGGTGCCAAAAATGACTCCGAGGCATAGGTTGACTTGTCTACTTAGACTTGCCTCCTTGAAGTACAACCAGTAGACGGGATGACCCCGGTTGTCTTGATTGCCTTCGAAAGTGGCTGGACCTCCCAAAAGATAACCAGTTTGCAGTCCCGAAAATATGATTACAAAATGAAGAGTTACAGGGCATTTCACCCGGGTTTCTCAAAGGGGGTGTGTTCGTTATAAGGTCAAACGGGTCATACGGAATCATCCATTTCAGAGTGCTTGCTATATGGATGTTTCACCTGAAACCCTTCACCTAAGCTAAACCAAGAAACACGAGGAACTATTCAGACGCAAGTTGTGACATGGATGACTGGGAAGACTCAAAATTGGTTCTGCTATCAAGGATAGGCAGGAGAACAAAGTGATGGAGCAATGTGTATGGAAACTATGAAGTATGGCCATGCCACAGACTTATTCAAACCCAAAATGCTCCGAAACTGGACGATGGAAGACTAAAGAAGAACACAACGTTGCAAAATCTGAGGGTCCATTAGGTCTATTGAACCGTTTTTTGGTTGTTTTTGTTTGTTCAAACACCAGCCATGCATTTGATTGGTTCATGGGAAACTTGAACGGACAGGACATGTTAGTTTACCTCCAATATAGGGTCTCTTGGAGGTTCTCCTAGCCATTATTGCTGCTTATAGCTGGCCATGACTCATGGGGTACCTATGGGCCCACCAAATTGGCTTTACATCCGTTATACTATGTCCAGGATTCATTCATCCAATTTCGCAGTAAATAACTTTAAACCACCATTCACATTCTATGACCGCATTTGTTGCTGGAAAAATCACCAGTTCCCAGGTTGAAGTACCATTCTTGGAGGTGCTCTCCCATTTGGACCCCATTTAAATACCATTAATCCGTATTAATCCACATTGTTGACCGGGAGTCCACAGCCAGTCCATAGGAGGCCAATTCCATCTCTTAGGACCTGCAGTGGTCCGAAATGGCCAAGCGAGCCATGAAACAGACAGCCGCTGGGCAGCCCAGCATTCGCCATGGCGGAAAGTTCAGGGGCAATTCATCAATTCATAGTGGTGAATTATGGTTATATAATAGTTATATAGTAATATAATGATTGTTGATGATGATTCATTATATATATATATATTATGGAGGTTTCCGAAGTCATGGGGATTCCCCAAATCATCCAAGATTGACTATTATATAATTTTAGCTTGGAAAGCCATGATTTTGGGGATCCCTATTTTAGGAAACCTCCAATTAGTGTGGTGATTGTTTAGGTGCGTGAATTCTCATACTTCAGATCAATGCTGGGGCAGATCAGGTCTGGAGTCTGGAGTGCCGTCAGACGCCAATGGGTATATAATTATCTGTTAAGTTAACCCCACGCAGATCATCCATGTGTGGTGTAGATACCATTTGTTTATCCACATTTATCCTAAAGATCTCCCAGCCATAGATATTGTGGTAAACCCAATAAGAAGCCATGCCCAACATTACCATAGCTGGTAAAACAAATTAACAAATATGTAAAAATCATCCCCCAGTCGAACCATGGATTGTTTATGGTAACGTTTATGGCATTACCACATTCTGCAGCTTCCGGCGCATTCTGGGTGGAGTCCCAGCAGCAGGTCTTCTATATGGGTTTGAAGCTGCTGGACCAGATCTGTGCCAAATTGAGGCGTGGACACGGCGTGGAGTTCTTCATGTGTGTGAGATACGTAGGTTCTGTGGGCCAGCATAAAAACCCAGAGCAGTGACCTGTGTAGGTATGTTGGTGTATATTGGTGTATATTGTACGTACAGTGATTTTGTCTAGAGACTCCTCAGGAACAGCTTCAGGTGTCAATATCGCCACATCTCAAAGATCATGGTCAGATGCATGTCCTCACGAGGATGCTCCCACTGTAGTTTTGACTGACACAAAGGTATACGCAAGTATTACTGGCGAGACCTGTGGGTTCAAGATGCTTCAAGTAAATCATGATCCCAAGATATGCCAAGAGCATCCAAGAGCAATGGATTAGATGATTGCAGAAATCCGAACGCACCGTCCTCTCGGGAGATCTCAGGAGATGTGTGGCATTCCAACAGGAAGCAGTTGTTTGAAAAAAATAGTCGAATTGTATCGTGTTTGATACTATTTGCATGCACTGACACTATGTACATCCATGTAGCACGGGTATGATGTATGTGTATATATATATATATACATATAAATATGTAATAAACCATCCCCAAGTCACCACATGTCTTAATGGGTGGTATACACCATCCAAATGGTAGGTTTGTTATTGGGTTTCCCACATGATTTGTGATATAAACCTCCACAATCCTCATGTTCGAACTGTGGAAAGCTGCTGCTTGCCAGGGACCATGGAGCGCCGGATGACACCCCGATGATGGTGGTGGAGTCTGACCCGAAAGTGGACCGGGATGATGATGGTTAGTACTAAAACATGGGAAGATTGACCAACAAAGACTGGGGCTTTCATAGGAAAATCTCTATCAATGGGGGTTTGAAAGGGAAACTCATGGAACTAAGTGATAGATTTTTGATTGCCATGATTGATTACGAAAGATTGAGAAAATATTGTTTCTAATTCAATAGCCATCCCAAAGATAACACCGATATCCTACTGGAGTATTGGCAAATTACTGTACTATTGTTTTGGATCCCTGAATGCTGGACCTGGCTGCGAAATACAAGGAGCCCAAGCACAAATCCAAGGGGCCCTAATCTATGGTGGCCCTCAGCGTGCGGCCACCACGAAGGTCTTCAGGGGCACCATAACCTACATGAAGGGTGAATCCTAAAATCAAAACGTCCAAATGCCAACCTCATGACCCCTTAGTTTTGATCATTCAGACGTGTACCCTAAGACTTTATCCCCGTGGCTAGCTGCTTTGGGGGTCAGTTCTCCCTGCCACTGTCCAACGGGGATGTTTTGGGGACTACTATAGTTGTATCTCCTTGTACAATCACATGGAACTGGGGATCTTGCTCGTATCGAGCCATCAAACCACTCCGAGAACTGCTTGCCTTTCATGGGGGTCAAACTGCCTATGAATGACACGGCATCAGTCGCGGAATTCAGAAAACTGGCTTTAGAAATCTTTACAATACATCAATTGGTCGGTGCCTCCGCCATCTTTCGTCCTTTGGGATGATAGACCGTCGAGCACCTACGTTGCCCAGGTCTGCGACTTCTTCGCGGGAGCAGTCCATCCATGCAACGTTGGCGACCATGTTGGTTGCCCCATCCTGGGGGAAGGTTTTTGGGGTCAAGGAGATTGAAACCAATGCTGCTGGGTGATTTGAAATAAAATGCGGATAGCTTCGAAGACTGTTGTTCTAGATTCTAGAGATATGGGATGATGATCCAAATTATAGATTATGGTTTTTGTTCGAAAATGAGTTGATAAAGAAACACATGTTGATTCGATGGTAGAATATCAGTTCAGGACCAAAAAGTGAGCGGGGATGAATGGGGTTGAGTTGGGTTGTTGAGATTGGATTTGAACCCAACAAGACATTCAGAATCAATCCAAAAAAAACAGTTTTTCACCAGCATAGTGGATACAATCCTCCGGTAATTTAACATGTCAATCAGAAAACCCGAGTCTCAAAAATAGGTCAAAGAATAGACTTTATCCAATATACCAATCAACCACAACCTGCAAATTTGCCATGGTTGCTTCCGTCGCAGCGAGCAGTTCTATCTCTTTTGACACAACCCAACCAGCCCCCAAGCCTACAAACCAACCAGCCTTGCACCATCAAAACATCGACCCAGGCCAGACGAGATTGTGAAGCAACAGGCTGAGCACAGGTTTGATTGTTATGCAATGGAATTGAGGAGTATCCGCTTGTGTTCCGTGCTGACAGCGAGCGCTGCAGATGGTCTTAAATTTGATATCACAGAACAGTATCTAATAATCAATTGTATTCTGTTTTCATGGATTTTGAATTGATCAATTTTGCCACCACCATGTTGGATTGCCTGAGGGTTGTCAGTGCGTCTTCCAACAAAAAGTTTTCGGGACATCTCCCAAGCACGTGTGCATTCGAGTTGTTCACCCCTATGAGTTCATGCTGGTTTTGCAGTTGCAGTGTGTATAGACAATTGGCTTAGTTGGTTATACATGATTATACGGACGTATTATCAGAAAATGGCGATCCTGAAATGATGACAAGCATGGAATGATACAGTCGCCAAGAGTCAACAGTTGTTCCTTTCTCTGCCAGTTTGGCAGCGGTGGGCCTGTTTTGATCATTCTTGGTGCGGAAGCCAAGCACATCCTGTCAGAGTGACCATTGGTGCATGGATCTGTGGCTGCTTAACCCCCTCTTTGTTATTCTTTGTTGATTTTTCTTTTTGGGATTTTACTTCCCAATACTTGGAGAGTATATATATATATTATATACATGATATTTTATCATTATAGTATTATAGTATTGTAGTATTATAGTATTGTAGTATTGTAATATTATAGTATTCCATTTTCGAAAAAACTATCATAGTACTACAGGATTGTAGTATTATTGCATTATATGGTATTATTGCATTATATAGTATTATTGCATTATAGTATTATTGCATTATCTAGTATTATTGCATTATACATTATTGCATTATATATTATACTATTATAGTATTATTATAGTATGGTAGTATTACAACCTTACAATACTATAATTGAATGTAATAATGTAATAATATTTAATACAATACTAATAATACAATATTAGCGTATTATATTATAGTACTAGTATATTGAATATCATTGTATTAAAACCTTGAATAATAGTATGGGACTATCATAATCCATAAACTGAGAATCCCTACTAATCAACTAGGACAATGGAATGATTCAATGTGGTCTAAAAATGGTGCGATTTCACGACGGAAAGTCTTCTAGCTCATCCTCCTCCCATACAGAACTCATTTGCTCACTTCGTCACTTCGACTGAGGCCCCACAGCCAATTTCCCTGCGCATTTGGATCGCTTGCAGCGGAGCGGAGAGCTTCAGAAGGACATTCCAGCACCCAAGCGGCGGCGCTTGACAGAGGCCGCAGGTTCCGTGGACTTTGGACATGGAGTCTGGAGTTGGACAGTCCATCCTATAGGTTTAACTTGCGCGGTATTTATCCATTCTTGAATTGGACCATTCCTCCCAGTTTGCTTTGTATAGGTGATTTACATCTTGAAATGGGGATATTCCATGATATTCCGTTGCACGGCCACATCTTAATCCCCAATATAACTCCAATTCTATCCGTATACATATATATATATACACATACACAAGCATAAGGTACCTCCCCTCAATGTCCCCTAATGATAATCCCATATAATCCCATGTATCGCTATAATGAGTGTTGGTTTTTGGAGGTACCCACACTCAGGGAAAGCAGAACCCTCAATTTCATGACCACAGGTAGCTCAACTCTCTGCTGATGCTGCTGATGCTTGACAGGGCGCCGATGGGGTCACGGCTACCGCTCGACAGCGAGAAGATCTGCAAAACTTCGCTGGATCAGGGTCTGAAATGTTTTCTCAACATATGGGCATGGCCGAAAATATGTGGAGAAACAACTTTTCCGAAGACAGCAAAGGACAGTCATGCAGAAGGCATGTTTTGCTGCCCAGAATGATCCTTTGCATGGAGTGCAGGACATTTTGGGTAGCTCTGAATTTCCCAGGGACAACCTTTCCAAGGACAGCAAAGGACAGTCATGCAGAAGGCATGCTTTGCTGCCCAGAATGATCCTTTGCATGGAGTGCGGGATCATTTTGTTTCTGGCGGATGAGCACCAACGTCGCTGATAGGCTGATCTCAGCACGAAAAGGAACTTTAGCAGCTTAGGGCAAACCGCATGGAGAGTCTCTCTTGCATGGCTATATCTACAGCGAAACGCGGTCTTTTGCATTTGAATTTATGGGCAGTGTGTCACTGTGTTGCTGAGAGGTTTACAGTATTTGTACTTGTATTGGACTGTGTAATGCATTATAAAATAGATAGTACAGGCGGTACAAGAGTTGATTTGATCCTTTCAGAAGGAGCTTTGATGCCACTGCAAGCTTGGAATGGCTTGGATGATTTTGGCAAAGTTGTGAGCAAACACGGAAGCTCCGCAGCCATTTTTGTCATTTTTTCGAGACTCACGCGGCAGTTGCAGTCGGCCTGCCTTCGCAAGAAACATGCCGGACTTCAAGTTGGCAGTGGACAAGAACAACAAGGCAACAGAATTGGCGTTGCTTCGCGTATGTGGCACGGTTCAGCAGAATCCGCACATGAGGGCATTCTGGGCTTCCACCATTTCCTGCTTCCTAGCCTTCTTGGGCTGGTTTGCCCTGGCACCTTTGGCGCTCGAGGTGGCCACCAGCATGGGCACGTGTGAGAATCAACTTTATCCACCAGAAGACAACCCCAAGCGGGTGGCCTACCTGAAGTACAAGTCACTCAAGACAGGCAAAGCGTACTGCCAGTAAGACGTTTTTGGTTCTTCTGCTTCATCTACGAAATGATTTCGTTGCATTTTTGGAATTTGCCCCTTAAAAGCCAGTGCGCGAAGCTGCAGGTGGATGCAATATCACGACAAGTACAACAACAACCTCATGGGCATGCTACCACTGGTGCCAGGTTTGCCAGTTGCACTAACAGAGCACATTGACCGTGCGGAGGACAAGCAGTTGCTGCGAGGTAAGACTGGCATCGTGCACTCCTGGGTGTGGCCCGAAGGTCAAGCTCGCCCGTCCATTGTGTATGTCGAATTCGAAGGTGCGGAGTGGCAACTGGAAGGTTTGGAGGAGCCGGGCGTTTAGAGGGAAGCCGGTACGGAGAACTTTCGGTGAATGATCATTAATTTGGCCTTCCTGATACATCGTCTTTGCTCCTCGCAATATCGACCAGGCACGTGATCTTTGTGTGAGGATGCGGCGTGTAAAGGGCATCAATCCTGAGTGGCGACTTCTACAACCTGCAGCTTTGAGGGTTCAAGCGAATATGTGGGCCAACACAAAACCAGAAATTCATCAGAGTTAGATCCTTTTGTTTTCCATAGATATCATTGCGATCAATTGAATTGTTTCGGAATCCTTGAGAAGGACAATTGCTCTTATCCGAATCCAAAGCAGCAGTTTGCCTGGGTCACACCTGGGGGACAGCAGCTCCCACCAGTATGAGTGAAAATCCAATGTAGGAATCTTGTACAAGCAGGTGGAAGTGAGGGATGCGTGCTGAATCAGAAGAAATGAACCTTTCTCATCCTTTCTCTCCTTCAACAATTGGTATATTTGGATATTTATATTCTGATGGTAAATTGGTGATCAATATATTACATAGAAATTTCTGTGCTGATATGGGGCAGGTCCTAGATAAACGGAGATCTTTATTCTCAGGGGGTCGATTTTAAAGATATTTTTTAATTTTGCCAATTTTTATTTTATTTTATTTAAATCATAATATATCTAATATTTTTTTCTAAAATAATTAATATAAAATTATATTTTTTTAAAAATATTTTATTGATTCTAAATATATTATTATTATAAAATATTAAGAATATATATTTAGATAAATTATATTTTTTGATATATATATATTTATATTAATATATTAAAATATTAATTTAAATATAATTTAAAATTTTTTTATAAATATAAAATTTAAATTTATAAATATATATATATATTTTAAAAAATATAATTATAATAATTTAAAATTATATAATTATTAAAAATATATATAAATAATTTTATAAATAATATATATAAATAATATATATATAAATATTTATATATATATAATTTATATAAATTTATATAAATTATATATATATATATGTATGATACAGCGTTGGTTACCTTTCCCCCTTACCATGGGGATGTAATATAATTCGTGGTTTGGGCGGTTTTGGGCTTATGAGACGTTTTTTTTTTGGTGCTTTTGTAAAGCTGATGTAAAGCTGACTACGCATCGTAATGGTGCGGCGCAGCCCGCGTAGTCCGGCGCAGCCCGCGTAGTCCGCGCAGCCTGCGCAGCCTGCGCAGCCTGCGCAGCCTGCATTTCCATTATATTTCCTAAATATTTTCCGTAATAATATTAATTTATTTTAAATTATTTAATATTCTTACTTTTAGCTTGGGATATCATAATTTTTTTTTTCATATTTAATTATTAAAAAATTATTATTTTTATTATATTTATTGTATACTATATTTTCCGATATATTTAGGTGGGGTACTTAAGCAAACCATTATATAATATACGGAATCAAATATTATGATATTTTTATTATTAAGGATCCTAGATTATAGTCGATCTAGCCCGATTCCAGCCTAAATATATAAATATCATTCACTATCTTATTCATATCTCGTTTAACTCTCGTTCGAGGCCACCTTTTAGGGTTCATTTTAGTTGAAATATACCGACTCCTGAGCCCCACTATGTATAGCATAGGTAGTAGGTCTTATGTAGGCATGCCGTAGCTATGAGTACCAACGTAGTTTTAAGTAGATACACCCCAATGTGTACAGTTTGCACCTCATACCTAGAAGCGTTAGGTATGTAGTATAGCCATAGCTTATTCCAGGGTTTAGTTTCTATATCCAACAACCACCGGGTATGGGTTATAAACTTACCGCTGGTTGACGCTTGGCTCAAGTGCCTTGTGAGCAAAAGGTGCTTGTCACATGTGCAGGGTTTGCCGGACTAGTTTCCCCCTTTTCTTTTGGGTGGCTGGTTCGACCCCCTGTTTAACTGGTTATCAGCCGTAAGGCTTTTGTTGGGGAACCTAATCCGGTAAAACTTGCCATAGGCCCTAACTTTGTTTTCGTACTTCACTGCTCATCGTTGCATGCCCTTAGAAGGATCCGGTGAGGTCGCTGACGATTCCGTCGCGACTGAAACTCCAGCGGGTGGAGCTGAGGCGGTCGCATCTGCTGCAGAAGACGTTGAGCAATCAGCTCCGTTGCCTGCCGGATCGATAGCTGAGGCCTCTACCTCCTGGGCGGATCTGTCTGAGGTACAAGCGCCCGTGCCTTCTGGTTTCGACTCCATTGTGACAGACTCTGCAGATCCCCAAAGATCACTGGTAGAGGTTAAGGAGGAGATCCACGAGGCCGAGAGCATCAGTGCGGTAATTTCAGCAATTGGCTTGCCAGAGGAGGCCGCCGACGATCCCGTCGCGACGGAAGAAACTGGGGTTGACACTTCACTTCAAGATCAGTCATTTTTGGAACTACCTTCTGATTTGGGTAACCCAGCGGAAGCTGCTTTCACGGACATTGATCGAGCAAAGGAGGAAGAAGTAGATCCTCAACAAGATTCTTCGACTCTTCTGGAACAGGCCGAGTGCGAGGTTGACACAACAGATCCAGCAGAAGAAGACCAATAACAGGTTGAAACTGCTGATCTTTTGGGTTTAGGTAACGAGGCGGATCCAGTAGGAGAAGCATCCGTTGCATCCGAACCATCTGCATCCGTGCCTGAGCCTGCGGTCACTGACACATCTGGTGTCGCGACAGAAGCCAACACTAGTTGCCCCGATCAAATAGTCCCACCACCAACTAGCCCTAATCTTGTTGACCCAGGTGCCGATCCTATCCAAGTAGGACATTCCCCCGCTAGTTCATCAACAGCCCATCGACCAAGGATTCGATCCAGCAGGGGTGGTGCCACAACCAGGTGGCAAGAAGCAAAGCGAGCTTGGTGGAACGACTTCGAGGCATACCAAAATTGGCTTTACCATAACTCCGGA